GAACAGTCTTAACCCCTGCTCAATTTAGTGTATGGAGCCAAGAGTATAAGGAACATTGTAGCTTTTATGCGATGGACAATCTAAACCATAACATTCCTGTTAGTGTTGACATGCTCTTAGGTATTGGGCCCTATTCCACTTCTCAGGCTCAGAGTCAGATGAACAGGCAAGCATTCAGTCAAGCTTCTGATGCTGCCACCAAAGCCTGGAGTAAAATCCCTGATTCCAGGATGCCCACCAACTCATTCACCACTATTTGTCAAGTGGAAAATGAGCCTTACATTGACTTTATCAATCGTCTCCAAATGGCCATTTCCCAACAGGTAGATAACCAACAAGCAGCTGAATTTCTTTGTCTCTAGCTTGCTTATAAAAATGCCAATGCCGACTGTCGGGCTGTTTTAGCTCCTTTAAAGGCACAAAATCCTAATCTAGCTGAGATGATTAGAGCATGTCAAAATGTTGGCACAGAAACTCATAAGGCACAAGTATTAGCGGCAGCTCTCCGTCCATCCACTGCCACCTGTTTTGGGTGCGGTAAACCTGGACATTTTAGGAAAGATTGTCATAGTTCAAAAAACAAAAATGCCAATGCTAAACTTCCAACCCGAAAGTGTCCCCGCTGTGGTAAAGGCTTTCACTGGGCTAATCAGTGCAGATCTCAACCCAGCGACAGCCACCACCCTTCCGCTGGGAACTGCCACCGCTGCCTCGCTGCTGAGGCCGAGTCCCGGGGGAGCCTCTGCGTCCTGATGCCGCCACTCCTGCTGCGGCTGCTGGGGCCGCCATCCGATCCGACTCCAGAGCCACAACTGATACCATCACCTCTTCCCCTGGGGAAGGACACTGAACAACAAAGATCTGCGATGCCGGTAACATGGGGAGGTCTAAAAGCCCTCTCCTCCAAAGCTGAGTATATCCTCTCTATTATCACAGCTACTGCTATTGCCGCTACAGCAGCTACTGCCGCCGTAGCTCTCTCCCAATCTATTCAGACCGCCCAACAGTTTAACACTTATATGCAAAATGTTACCTCTGAAATGAAAACTATGGCACATATTGATCAAGAAATCCTCAAGCGTCTGGGTGCTTTAGAAGTCTCATTCCTTTGGCTTGGAGAACGACAGGAAGCCCTATGGGAACATTCCCAACTAACCTGTGATGCTGAATACACTGGCTTCTGTGTTACAGCCCTTCCATGTAATGAATCCTAGAAGGATGTTAAAAATAATCTTTTAGCTAGCTTCACTTCTCCGTTGAAAAGTGATATTCAAAAAATTATAATTCCAGTTACAAGAACAACTCTTGAAACTACAAGCAGAATCTAATAAAGTTACACTTACTACACTTAATGATTTTGCCTACTGGCTTAATCCTACACATTGGTTCTCTGGACTCAATCTCCATGTTTGGATCCTTTTTGCTATAGGATGTTTAATAGTCTTGTGCTTCCTTATAGTCATCCGA